ATTGGGGCCCAAAAAGGCTCCTCCATACAAACCAGTTCACTGCATACAGAAAACCAGCATTTTAGAGACTAAAATCATACCCTACCAATTGAGCACGGAAAACTAGGAATTGAAAGCATGAGAAAGGAACAAGAAAGGATGATTTCATTCCCAACTAGCTACAGGTGACTTGACCACAGTTTGTTGGCATCAAGTGAATTCAATTACTTCAGTGTGGTCCCAGAAAAAGAGAGATGGCCTGAGAGACCCAGCAGACTACACACAGCTGGTGCACCTATGGAAATAAAAACATTGAGGAGCTCTCAAACAAAATTAAACTGCCAAGAAGCTTATAGATTCAAGGAAACAGCTGGTACTTCCTTGGAATGGAGCAACAGACAGACAGACAGAAAGACAGACACGCACACACAAACAATTTAATGAACAACTACTATCGTCAGAGAGAGAGAGAGAGAGAGAGAGAGAGAGAACAAACTTCAGAACTTAGCTGGGCAAGGAAAATGGAAACATGGTAAACTATGTTTTCTTCCAACATTTGTAAATTCTGGGGGCCACATCATATTTACATACTATTTTTTTTGTTTTAAATAAACACCCTGGTCAACACAAGTTAAGGAGATAACCACTACCACTGGCTCTAACCACTCCTAACCCTCTCAATCCAATGCCTCCTCTAAACTTACTTTGTATCAAGAAATACCTAGTTAAATTGAACTGGCCATGTGATTGTTTTTTTCCCAACCTTCCCCATAATGAGCCTCAATGTGTGGATTAAAAAAAAAGCTATTAACATTACTCTCTAACTTTAGAACGGGGGGGGGGGCCACAACATTGCCCTGAGTTCTGCAGAGGAAAGGGGGGGAAATTCCTCCTCTTTGCCCGATGGACTTTCCGCACGAAGAGAATTCTTGACCAAACTCCTCTCAGAGAGCGCTCCCACTGGGAGGAAACAAGCTGGATCCAACCCACAGCCAACGTCCCACACCTATCAATGTCAAGTTATAAATAGAAATCCCGCCATTCAATCAGATAAAGGTTAGCACTTCTGGAAGGGCATCTCACAACCTCCCATGGACCCAGTGGTACAAAACACTTGGCTGCTTTCCAAAATCTTTACATTTTTAGTGCCATACCCTTTCTGGTAAGAGCTCAGAATGCTGTTGTGTCTGAAATGTTGAGAGCTCAGGTGGACTGCTGAAAGGGCATACGGTTGAAGCTTAGAGCTACTTTATTTTTTCATTCTTCTCCATCAATCAAAGCAGTGCAGCATAATCCATAACGAAATCAACTTGTGAGGCATCGAAGTACATGAACATGTCGGTTTGCCAACTTCTGAACTCCCCGCCGCCGCCCCCCATCTACAATTGCTCTCATTTCAAATATTGTTTAAGTTTTGATAGTTAAGACTGGCAATTTTGCAATTTTCTCCCTTGCCATGGATTATACAACTCAGTGAAGTGTTCAAAATAAAACATACAGCATGTGTACTCTAATGTGACAATACTATTCCTTCTCTGCAAATAATTTAAAAAAAGGACTCCCCTATAAATTTAGCCTGGATATGTTCAGCAGGTCTGACAGCTCAGTGAATGGGCCTGAAACAGGCTAGCAGATCAACTACTATAAATTATATTGGTAGGTGCTGGAGAAAAAACATTTCTAGTAGTGGTTCCACATTTTGTGAACCTCCCTTCAACGGATTATACACATTTTTCCTTTTTTAGGAGCCTCACTGCACAGTGGTTAAACTGCAGTACTACAGTGAAGACTCTGCTCACAACATGAGTTCACTCTGGGACTCGGGTAGCTGGCTTGAGGTTGACTCAACCTTCCATCCTTCCAAGGTCAGTAAACTGAGTACCCAGTTTTTTGAGGGGACCCACGCATAGCCAGCATAATTAAATTGTAAATCGCCCAGAGAGAATTTTAAGCACTATGGGGCAGTATATAAGCAGCACACTTTGCTTTGCTTTATTATCTTCAAAATTCCCTCTTTACTATTTTCAGAGCTGTTCAGCATATTTTTCTTCACATATGCTTTTTAATCAAATGAGTATATGGGGTCTTTATAATCATACATTACTGCCAATTTTAGTATAATTTATTTCCAATTAAAGTGCTATTGTGGGTTTCATTCTGAGCCACTGATGTCCATTTTTAAAATATAATATAGCTAGATTGATTTTAATAAATTCATGCTGTTTCAAGAGGCACTTGTGTTTGAGTTATTGTAGGTTACTTTAGAAAGCATTGCCTTAAAAATGTGGCATTGTTGTGTATATTAAATGAATAAATTATGTAGTACAAATACAGTACGTCACATAGGGAAAAAATTACAAAGATGCATGCAGAGCAGGTAACTCCAGATGTCAAAACCAGGTGAGCCGAGCCGCAGACGAAGAGGCAAGCAAAACATACACCTTGACCTTTTTTTTCTGTACGTCCATTTATCCACACATTTCCTAAACCACAACTTTCTTTCTCCCTTTCAGCTGCTTATCACCATGTTTTAATTAAACAGAGATAGTTCAGTTAAATTTTAGTATAAAAATCATGAAACAAAAAAAAAAGATTGTCAATAGTTAACTATAAACTTTCATGAAATAAATGTTCTGTTAAAAACTGTATTCAAAACGTAGCACATCAACACCTGTTAAGAGCGTTCCATTCTGTGTTATATGTTAAAACTGGTTACAACATAAAACTAATTACTCATGACTTTCAATAAACATGTTGAGTTATCAACACAAGCATCATTAAAATTCTCATTTTGACTTGTGCTGAACTAATAAAAAGAAATAAGTTCAGTTCAAACTCATTCATAATACACCAACAACAAACAGCAAATCATAAAGGTTAGAAAACAACCTTGTAATTGGGTGGAATAAAATCTATCTCAGTTAACTGGGCACACATTATGTTTACAAAAGACCACTTTTTTTAAATCTCGTTCCTGGGGAAGTTAAACTATTAGCTTTTTATACAGAAAAGAACCAGCTTTTTGCCTATTTCTGCCACATCAAAGAATGCCTCTCTTTGATAAAGGGAACGAGGAGTAAAAAGTACATTCTACTCTGCTGCATCAAACCCTATCAACCAAGATAAATTCCTGCAGGAAAGTCGGAGAGAGAACAGACAAAATATACAGTACTGTAAGATAAATTCCTGCAGGAAAGTCGGAGAGGGAACAGACAAAATATACTGACTCTGCATCACTATCTATAAAAACATACTTCAAAATTGTCATGAGGGCCATTGAGAAGTCCACCTAGGGCAGACGTCCTTGTGCTTGCGCCAAAATGCCTTCACTTTCCCCCAACATGCACCATGTCTCTCACTCAGTGTTTGTCGGTAGTGGGTAATTAATTACACTGTGGTAAGGAAGCACCATTTTTTTAATTGTACCACAAAAGTTAAACAAAGTTTAAAAAGACAAAATTAAAAAAAAAACTGTTATGAAGTGCTTGTTCCTTTTTCTATTTTTGTCAGTAAGGAAGTAAACATTTTCCTTTGTCTAATAGCATCTCTGTCAAACAGCTCACCCCTGTTTGGAGGGGGAAATTACTTCTGAACTGCTGCATTATGATGGCATCAGGCCAGAGGTCTTTCTCATGCCTAACTTGGCAAGCTGTAGTAATCTATGGCACTTGCAGAAATGAGAAACAGAAGCAAACATGCAAATGCTTTGTTTTTACTGCAGGTCAAACTGATCCTTTAAAAAAACAAAAAACAAAAAAGGAAGATCCGTGTATGACACCAAGCCCCCTTTCCCTCCAAGTGCTTCATCTGAGAGACCCACGGTGGTAATACTGATTGCATGGTTAGATTAGGACAAACATCAAATACACTGGATGACCTAGGCCATTTTCTCCCTCTCAGCCTCACAGACCTCAGTAGGTTGTTCTGGGGATAAAGGAGAAAAACCATGTAGGCGACCTTCAACTCACTATACAAAAGGCAGCACATAAATATAGCTAAACATTAAACAGAATGACTGAATGCAATAAAACTGCTGTCAATTCATGACCTATCCGTTTCAGCCACCCCTAATCTGGTGCTTTCCACACGTGACAGACTACAATGCTCACCATGTACAAATGAGGGGAGCTGAAAGCCAGCATGTCGGCAGGACACTATGTTGGCGGAAGTGAATAAACACAGGGCTCAAAGCCAATCCAGTGGAACTTTTTTGAGGTAGAAGGACCAACACAACATGTCTCAAACTTCATTGTAAAAATATAATACAATTTTAAAAAACTTGACAGTGTGTGAGTGAGCATATATGCAACGTATTTCAAATCTCCCAGCTTTCCCAATGGCACACAGAACAGTAAATATATCGGTGGATCCATTATCCAATGCAAGTATCTGCATGTTTCCTATATACCAAAAGATATTATACTTAGTTTTCAAAAACAACCATTTTTCAGAAAAGCATTGTCTTCCTCAGAAACCTTGAAGCTATTATAGTAACTGGGCATTTTTAGAAGCACAGGTATTAAGTGTACTCTTAAATCTTGCATAGGTTTAGGTTTATAGCCTAAGTACTCTACATTTTGGTAAATACACAATATAAATAATTGTTACCTCTAATACTAGAAAAATACACCTTATGTCCAGAGTTTCATAAAAACTCAAAACCATCGCTATGATTTTGAAGTTATTTTACGTCTCTCCCCATCAATGTGCCAAGAGAAAAACAAATAAATTATAATTGTGTACTGTGGAAAATACAAAGGAGATGTCTTCTGCATTTCTGCAACCAACTGGATTTAAGAAAACAACTGGAACACAGGATATTTTCTGTGAGAAGACAGACCCATACTTTTGTTTATGAGGAACTCATTTTCACCTTCCATTGTAAGAGGCACTAGACTGAGAGAAGGAGTCTAGGAAGCCTTGTGTTATCTGATCTTAGACGGCTCTTCCCCAAGCTTTTCTGTTTGTTCACGACAAGTAGAATAACGGAGGAGGAAAAGGGCACAACTGCTCTTGCTTACCAATGTGATAAAGGCCTATCCAGTCTGTGGGATCCACTTCTTCTTTAATATCCCAGAAAATGATGAGGTTCTGAGATTGCCCAAGAGTGTATTCATACATGCTTGCAGTCAAACTAGAGCGGCTGTCGGAGGTGACTAGATCAGTGTCACTATTGGCACGCTGCAAGTTCATGTTCTCAGGGACGGTGCCCTGAGATGCCAGGCTCTGGAGGTTCTCTGGGCTCAAAGTGTAGCGTAGCTGAGGATTGCGCCGTCTCACAAAAAGGAGATGCTCCCGGGCTGAGCTAGTCATCTTGGTCTCTTTTACACTGGAGACAGTTCACTTGGAGTTCTATAACAAAGGAGAGACAGGCATTATATACAAACTGTCTGTCATATTTGCCAAGATCTAAAACCTGATTAGCAGGCCTAAATGATTTTTCAAAAAAGTTTTTAAAAAGGCTCCCCACAAAGGCAGCAAAACATATGTACCGCTCACTGTTCTGGCCTAATTTAATTATCCAAAGCTCAAGTTAATTATTCGTACACAACCTGTTTACTGGTTCTTGTGGTATTGTTGAAGCTCCACAACTCGACAAGTAACGGACACCCTACAGCACCACCCACCACTTTCCCTGAGCTTAGCTGCAATCTTGACAGTAGCCAGGAGAAATAAGGATTTCCTCCAGGAACCCTATATTGTTGTATACGATCTCTTTTATACTGTAAAATATATGAAGTTTATTTGATCTTCCTTCAGCAATTAAGAGCCATAAATTGATAGAAAACCTGTTTGTTCCTCCTCTCTTTTAAATATAGACCCATGAAGCAACCTGTACTTTCCTTATGAGAGAGGGGTTGTCTATGGGAACTGTCATGTTGGGCACTTGGGACTGTCAAACTTACTACTCCACCCCGTCTAAAAGACTCCAGGATTTGATGAGAATCCAATTTAGACTTCAATTTAAAGGAGAACAGTTTACTGTCCTTTTGCCACTAAAACTATTCCAGTTGAAAGAGCAGGAGTCTAAAGGAATCTGAAGTGCTAACTATAAGGTGAACTGAATTCAACCTTGTTTCAAGGGAAACTTGGTTCATGGGAATTTTTCTACCTGCCCATGATGAATGCTGTGGACAATCTAATAATAAGGAGCAGTGGTATTGTAAAGCCATGTCTTGCAGGGCTGGAACACTGGGATATTATTTTTCAGTTAGTCAGTGTGATCATTTTACCTGCTGCTCCCTCTCAAATTCCCTGTCCCCTGGGAACACAACTGCAGTTGCAGGAAAATTGATTTTCCCAGCAACAAAAGGCTGTTACCAGCTATCCCTACTATAATGTAAAGTATTTCGGTCTTGGTTAGGCTTTTATGATGCATCAGCTTTACAAAATACCAAATCACAGTAAAGATCAAAACTGTTGGAACTGGTTTGCTGATGTTGATCAATGCAGCTGCCTTCATTTCTAGACTCTTTTTTGATATGTAGTTACAAGGTCAATCATATGAAAACATTGACTTCAAAATTTACTTCTTCATCACTAACCCAGAAAAAAGTTAGGGAAACAGATTTTAAGAACTGATATAACAAAGTCCATCCAAAAAAGGGTTCAGGAAGGAAATTCACTAAATTGTGAAATTTTAATCATGTTAGAAAAGCATTCAGTCATCCACAGAGTCTATATTATTGTTTCCTTTGAAGAAGCTCCTTTTGCCACCCCTCAACTTTCCTCAGAACAATTCAAGGCTACCTTACGCCACAGATTTAAGCTACACATACGTGACACACTTAATTGTTGAAAACTGAGGTGACAGACATCAGATTACAGATGGTACAGTAGCCACTCACACACAACGCACATCACCAGAAGAGAATAAATACTGTACATCACAGAAGGAGAAAGCGGGGATGGGTTTTCATAAAGTATACATACGCTAACTTCTATGTATAGATGCAAATTTTAAAAATAATTAGAAAAATAGAAATAGAAACAATTTGCCATAGTACAGAAATTGGTGTTCCTGCTTAGCAACTTCAAAGCTCCTGATCTCCCTTCACCTTTTTAATCCAGAGTTGGACTGGACACAAGAACCTGTGCTTAATGGCTTTGAGGAACAATCTTCATCAGCACAGCAGAAGAAGGTAATCGGATGCCCTCAAGGTATTTCAAAACACCACTCTCATTACATCCAAGGGATATTGCCGATGGTCAGAGACTATGGAAGCCATGAATGAATGAAAACAATCAGGAGGCAGCAATTTACCTAGTGCTACTCTAGAACCTGGTGGTCATGGTGATACACTGTGCAGCAAAATGCCTCTAAATGACTATACCAGACCCACTGTGAGCAAATGCAGACATCACTGTTTATCACAGCTGGAACAAGCTGCAACACCCTTAGGCTCCCATGTTCTGTTTTCCCTTCTCCTCTGCCGGCACAGGCACAAGAGACAGGCAGGACACTGGCCTTTGATTAACCACAACTCACTGTTTTGATCCAATCCACAAAACTGTGATTCATCTTTATCATACTATGTTGTTTGAAACAAGCCAGTTTAAAATCATGTATTGTGTCGTTTGTTTGTTCCTACAAGACATAAAAATGATCAACCACAGGAGATCAGCTGCCACACTACCATGCTGTCCTTTAAAATGAAAAAGTAAAAAATGTACCACCATTTTGTGATCGTGGCACAAGGGACCCGGAGACAGGGAAGATGCGAGAGTGGAAGTGGAGACCAGGAAGGGAATGAGCCCAAGCCTCACTGCAGCTTCTTCCCACCATGACAAACCCAAGACTTTCCATGACATCTGAATCAGTTCAGAGTCTGGAGAACATGGCAGTACATGAGAAAAGAAAAGGTAAACATCCCAGTGCTACAATCTTCCCTTCCAGTTTAATAACTATATATGATTTAATGAAGGAAAGTAGGTCAAGCTTTGTCTAGAAGAAGGGGGGGAACTACGTCTGATGCTCATAAAATCAGGCATGAATACACAATTTTCATATTAATCAGGGTGGGGGAAGCAAAAAACCTCAACATCTCACCCACTAGCCACAGACAGTTGCACCTCCTAAAGGCATTGACAGGATTCTGGACATTATTTTAAATTTCTCCAACACACACCAATCTCAGTAAGCCTGTATACACTAGCTCTGCCACAAAACTAGTGTTTTAACATCTTAAACATCAAAACCATGTTCTCCCACGTAATTAACACTGTTGTTTAGAAAACCACAGTGGCTCTGTCTAATGTTCTTTACTTCCAAACTGTTGGCTCTCTAGGAATGTGTTGTTTGTCTTTACACAAGCAGTTTTCTTGGTGTGATTAGAAGTACTCAAAGTTATCAACTGTAACTACCCAGATGATCATTTCTAAATTAACTGATAATCAGATTATGATTATTTTTGGCACCATTTGCCATTACAATATAACATACATAGTTGTAATCAAAATTATTCACCCTCCATTGCAAATCAGGTTTAGTGTCAAAATTTACAGGCTTTCAGCTCTTTGCAATGAACAAA